TAGGACACATTCATTCATTAGCCATTAAGTCTTAGAGAACTCACTATGACCCTCTCAAAGCCTACTCGTGCAATGCATGGATGGCATCTCATACTACCACCCACACTTCATAGAACTCCTCAAGAAATCATAATGCACATCTAACATGATGGGAATAAGTATTTAATCAACATAGACCATGCAATCTAGACTTGGAATCTGGTGTCGTGTAACCCCACACCGTAAAAGGTGGTCAACTTGCCTAATGAAGACCAGTAATATTAGCTTGGATTGAATTAAATCCACTGGCTAATATCCTATGTGGGCTCATAGTTATGGGATAGGAAGATGTTCATTCGAACCCTAGCCTAACATTGGGAGAGTTTTCATCTTACCATATCCACTCGGTGCTTAGCCTACATTCCCATAGAGTATTTCAATCACATTACAACATTGTACTTAAAAGGGCCACCAACATTAGGCCTATCGACCCAAAGCACATACACGTGAAAGGTCACCACCATTAGGTCTACCGATTCAAGGTATATTAACGATGCTCATTGATATTACTAGAAAGAGCCACCAATGTTAGGTCTACGGTTTCTAGGTTCATCATCTCACACAAGAAGGGCCACCACCATTAGGTATACCGTTTCAAGGTTTAACATCACATTAGCACCTAGACTCCTCATGAAAGGCCACCTCTCTTAGGTCTACCAATCCAAGGTTTAGCCTAGAATACTTTATCATTCATTCATGAAGAGGCTACTAGCATTAGGTTTACCAATTCGAGACATTAAGTCAAGATACATTCATTATATAAGAAAAGGATGCTTAAGCATACCAATTCAAGAGATCACATTCAACATAGCTTTCATTTATCAATAAGAGGACACCTAAGTCTACCAATCCAAGATACAACATTACATTACAGAAATCCTTCACATTCTATCGTCAACATTCATGAGTGTTAATTGAGAATAAACCATCAACAACAACACATTTACATTCTATACAAGATCATCATTCTATCATTGAAATCACAAGTATATCCTTCACATTATACATAGTAACTAAACACCTCCACTTTTCAAGTGGATCCACATCTCTAGCACAATTCTAATGCAACATGTAATTAGGTCACAACTTGCCCTTTCAAGGCCATGATTAAAAGTCACCCACACACCAACAATTTACTACAATTAAGGCATGTATAATGATACAATTCAACAATCTAAATCAATTTAGGCATAATCCATCAACATTCATTCATGATCAACAAACTCACTTCATAAAGGAACAATTTAGGAATTGAGAGAAATCATGGGTTCAAAGAGTATTTTCATAATAAATCATCAATTAAACATTAATACAATTATAATTTGTCATTAGAAACCATTTGTAAATGTTTGATGAAAGAACCCATGAGATTCAGTAAAACCCTATGTTTTTCATAAACTTGAAAACTTTGAAAACTTCTTTGAAATTGACTCTAGGGTGAAAGCTAACCCTAGATGAAGGATCACCATACCTTAATAGATGAATTCCACGAAAATCCACTCAATTTGCCTTCCTCTTCAATCCCTAAGTCTTCTTTTTCTCTTGGTCTTCAATGGAGTTCTAGAGAGAAGATATTTGGAGAGGGAGGGGTTTTGATTTGGGGAATTTGAATAATGAAATCTAAAATAGGATTTTAATGTTTTAATACTCTTAAAATATCTTAATACACCTAAAATAACCGTCCATACACTTAAAAATTTTAATTAACTAATTACCAAAAGACCTCTACACTTGGCCGAGCCAAACCAGAAACTGCAGGTGTAGACCACGGATAGTAGATGGGTCCACGGACCGTCCTGGCTGTCCATTTTTCATGGCTGGGGCTTGGTCTTCAAGGCTGCTGCAGGGTTCGACCTACAGAGGCCATCCACGGACAGTGGATGGACCTACGGGGCGTGAACCCCATCCATAGGTCACCACATTTTGGCAACTCTTTTGGTTTCAAAGGGTCTTGGGGGTTAGGCTTAGGGTTCTCCTCAAGGACCCCTAGGGTGGTCCATGGGGATCCGTACCTTGACGTTTAACCCCTAAACCCCTCAACCATGACTTAGGACAACATCAAACACCTTCAAACCTCACACCAAACTCAAACACACATACGTTAGGCTCTAGTTTCACTTATTCATTTTTAGGGTCGTTACAGTACCAAGAGTCGAGTGTCTTATTATTGAGTTTAGCCTTATTTCACTGAGTTGAATATTTTATCTTTGAGTTGAGTATCTTTTTTCTAAGTTGAGTTGAGTTGAGTGAGTTGAGAAGAGGTAAGTATATTTCCTTTTTATCAAGTTCAAGCTTATGTTATGATTTAGAATTCCCCTTACATGCTCGTACATTCCACGTACTGAGCCATTTGGCATGCATCCTTTCATGATGCATATTCAGGTAATCGGGATCATCAACAAGAGTTTCGTTGATACCACAAAGAGTTCGAGTTAGCTATGGTGAGCCTCCTTGATTTCGGAAGATTTTATTTACTTTTCAGTTATATCAGTTGTTAGGATGTTGTGGGTCTTGTTCCGACTTCCATCCTTGTCATTTATAGGCTTCATAGATAGACAGTAGAGTTTCAAAAGTCTGTTCATTTATTTTGTTAAATGTTTTAAAGACTTAAGTTGCCTATTTTGGGGCGAGTTAAATATATTATATTATTCAGAGTTTTCTTTTGAGTTAAAGCTTTGTATTTAAGTTTCATGAATTTTGTTCAGTTTTTAAGCTTTTGCATGCTTAAGTTAGTCTTCCGCTTGTAGTCAACCAAGATGAGGGTTCGCTTGGGGACCAGCAATGGTTCTTGAGTGCCGGCCACATCTACGGTGTAGACTCGGGTCGTGACATGTGTTCTGGACAAAAATGGGTTTTAGGGAGGGATGGGGTGGTGGGTTAGGTGGGTTGGGTAATGTATTGATTCAACAAATAATTTATAGTGTATAGTAATGAAAAAAATATTAATATATAAAAATATGACTACATAATTGTTTCTTAACTTAAGTGTATAACATTTTTTTACTTAAGTGAAACATATTTGTTTTATAAACTAAATCATTTTTTTTTAATCACTGAACCATATAAGAAGGAGATAGTGCCGAAAATAAGCCAAAATTTAATATAAGTATATAGTAGACTTTTTATATATGTGGTTATTTTTGGGGTATATTTTTGTAGTAATTTAGCACTACTCTTTTGTAATTTAACGATACCAATATCATCTATTTTTTATTTTTAATTATCTTCCTTAGAATCTGTATTTACGGATACCATAAATGTGGATGAAATATCCTTTGACGGTAAGGGTAAAAATGTCACCAAATTTTATAGGGGTGTACGCGCACACACCAAACTCTTGTTGTAAAAAAATTTGAAATTCATGATTTTTCTAAATTCTATAATTAATTTTTTGAGATTATCGGTGAATACAGGTAAAACTTATAAGGGCTCGTTTAATACATAAGATGAAATTATTTCATCTCATCTAGATAAAATAATTTTTAAATTAGTTAATACTTTATACCAAATGTGAAATAAAATTAAACGCAAAATTATTATTCTTGTCGTACGTATTTTGGAACTTTTGGAGGGTGAAGCAATTTGTTTTGATGGTGTGATGTGGGTCCATTTTATGAATTGACAAGACCTGAGTTGGCTGAAGAGTGACCATCATACATACCTTAGAATTTAGTGGAACTGTAACTATCTTATACCCCATCACAATTTTCATGCCTACTTCCAACTTCTTTATCCTTTGGGACCGTTGCCTATTACTAGAGATGTTAAATGGGCGGAATGAAATAAAATTGAAGATATTGAAATAGAAATCAAATTATGTCATGATCAATTCAAGTTTACGTTGTATTTCAATGGGTTGGGCTCAAAAACGGATTGTATCATGATCTGTCCAATTTAATGTGCTGAATTTCAATAATTTTAATATATTGTTGTTTAACTTTTATAACCACATTTGAATTTCAATTTTAAAAAATGAATAAATTTGTAATAATTTTGACACCTGGTATACATTAACAGAATAACTAAAAAAAAAATTAATTCAATAATAATTTTAATTTCAAAGAGAAACCCACCTTCGTCTTCGTCACTTCAATTTACAAAATCTCTTGTTCTTCCTTTTGGTTCCACTATTTTTTTCTTCTTCATTTTGCTTAAAGAACAAACTGAATCTGAGGAAATATATCATGATAGGGTATATTCTTAGTGCCAATATTATTATCGAAAAAACATCAATTAAACAAATAACCAGTCAAAACAGAAAAAATCAAAAGAGTTTACTGATAAAGATTTGTCTTTAAAGTTGTAGAAGAGCATTTCATCAAAGAAATAAAAATTGCTAAAAATAGAGTTCGCATTTTATCAAAAAAAAAAAACTGCTAAAAATAGAGTTTGCATTTCATTAAAAAAAAAATTGCTAAACATAGCGAAACTCTATTTTTTCCAGCAAGACTAATACAAATCTGAACTTATTTACGAATTTGAAATTTTTTTCTTTAAAATTTAGTAGGAGGAAGAGGAGGGTTTTTATAAAGGTGTTCGATTGGAACAAGTGGTGTCTAAGTAAATTATGCGGACAATAATTTTAAAGGTACATTACATCAATGCAAATAAAAAGTCTTAAAACAAGTTAAATTGAAAATTAAATTAGACTCAATTGAAGATTCTTTCAAAGTGGGTTAAAGCTTGAACAAATAGAGATTAAACCCTATGTTGAGCTCAACCCATAAAATTATGATCCGATTAAACATCTCATTTTTGACACCCCTACCTACTACTACCTTTCTTCTTCTTTTCATTTTTCCCTTCACTATGAAAGACTAAACATTTCAGTACATGAACAAAAGAAGAAAACCGAAAACCTTAATTCATGATTCATCCACCATGACAATCAGACCACTGTACATGAGGATGGCTGACTTGTGCCCCCATCTTCAAAAAATGAATGGCACATTTTAACAAAATTGAGAGGGAGAGATGTATGAAGTTAGGTGTTGATCGAATTATACATGAGCTTTGTGTTCTTTTTTACAGATTAATAATACAGGCATTCCAACAGCTATTTCTCATTTTTCAACTCAAGGATAGAATCAGATGTTGTCATCTAGGTCCTGAAAGCTCCATTGCTTCGACTACTAGTGATGATTCTTCTATATAATCAGAATATCTCTTTGGTGTATTTTCAGATGTTCTGTACCTAGGTGTCTCAACTTTTTGTGAAGCCTCCCATTTTTCAGCTAATCCATCTCCTTCCAACATCCTTAATACCTCCGACATCTTTGGCCGATAAGTTGGAATGAATTGGGTACACAGAAGAGCAACTTGAACCATCTCTTCAAGTTCAATCCGGTCAAAGTTGTTCTTCAAATCTTTGTCCACCATAAGGTTCAGCTTTTTCTCTACATGAAGTTTCTTTACCCAATCAAGCATAACACCTTTCTGGTTCGCCCCTCGTCCAAAGTCCACAGCCTTCTGACCTGTAATTAGCTCAAGAAGCAAGATTCCAAACCCAAACACATCAGTCTTTTCAGACGATTGACCCGTTGACAAATATTCTGGAGCAATGTGACCAACTGTGCCCCTGACAGCAGTCGTTACATGAGAATCCCGGTGATCCAAGAGCTTTGCTAACCCAAAATCTCCAACCACTGCTTCAAATTCCTCATCCAACAGAATGTTCGCTGCTTTGACATCACGATGGATAATTTTGGGGTCACATTGTTCATGCAAATATACTAGCCCTCTTGCTGTACCTACTGCTATTCCTTTCCGCCTTGACCAGTCCAAAACTGGCCTGCCATGGATGTGATCTGCAAATTTAGGAACCACAAAAGACATGGTTAATTGAAGGCATGTTCACCAGAAGAAACTGCATCACTGTGGTCGCTGATGATGGCCTACCATATACTTCAAGAAGAAGAAATATGGTAAGGGACACAAAATAGGATGGGTCAAACATTAAAATCTTGTACTAAAAAATAAAAGATAGTATCAGTTATAGTGGTGGCAAATGGGTGCATTGGACCGGATTTGGGTGGATTGAGTTAAAATAGATAGCAAGTTGCTCGAGCAGTGGGTTGAAGCTTGGAACCCTTCTGGGTATGGAACCTTTTCAAATACTGGATCTTGTGCTAGTAATTACTGGCTGTCTTCAAAGCAGGCCCAAACACGTCTCTTACTGAAATAGGAGAATTCGTGAACTAACCTGCTGAAAGGCCTAATATCTATTATTGAAGTAAAGATAATTCGTTCTATTGAAGCGTAACGTAAAAAGCTCGGGATGCATATGCCCTTTTCAGGGTTAAAAGAAGATAGATTGGAATCCATCCACATAAATATGGGTAAAATATGGACTACGTGAATGGTTCAAACCCACTTTAATCTCCTTAAGCCATAAATTATGACAACTCTCATAATGCTTTTTAGAAGCAAATTGTTGTATAAGATGAATAAACTTCTTTCTCTTTTCAAAAGCTTTATCATGTGCAATGGTGAAGTTTTAATTTTAATTCACTTTCTTCCTTCATTATTCCAAATTGCATAAAACTGAGAGAATGAGAAGAGGATAACCTCTCTAAAATTAACAAGTTTTAACTTGGATAGAGAAAAGGCAAAGAGGAGAGTCCTTAAACAAGCAATATTATCAAGTCCCAGCTTAAGGTAAAAGAATCCAATTTTTGTTTGTTGGTATTCAAGCCCTAGTGACACTCTCATATCGGAGAAAAGAAACTGATTTACACTTTACAGCGTATGGAATTAAAGATCAGCTAAGCTCATCTACCTTTAAGAAGTCCCACATAGGTTGAGGGAATGGGTTGTGGTCTTTGAGCAATACTTACCTCATGAGCTAACTTTTAAGTTTGATTTAGATCCAATGTCCATTTCTTCACAAGATTCATTCTTGTAAGATAATACGTTAGTCTGTTAAGCCTCACTTTCTGTAATAGAAAATTGTGCAGCTTTAAGAGAGTATTTTCTAGTTAACTTCCCATAATGAGTTAGAAAGGTGTGACCAGGGACCTAAAAATGTAAAAGAAAGGTAAACACAGTTGAAATTAGTTAACAAACACCTTCCTAAAAGGTCGAACTTCACAGAACATATATGTTAGAGGAATGATCTGAAGCTAGGAGGCATAGCAATTATTACTAACAAAACATGCAGGCCAAGAGGCTGACCTTTTAATCGTGCTGCTACACTTCCATTTGGCATATAGGGGTAAACAAGAAGCAGTTCACTTTCAGTTGAACAAAAACCCCAAAGACGGAGAAGATTTCGATGGACAGCCAAACTAATCAACTCAACTTCTGTCTGAAATTGGATTTCACCACCAACAGCATTGTAGTCCTTTAATCTTTTGACAGCCACGACAGTTCCATTATTTAAGCGTCCCTTGTACACAACTCCAAATCCTCCGCTACCCAAAATATTTTTTGAGCTGAAATGATCAGTTGCAGTTCGCAGTTCTTTAAAGACATACCTTTTCAAGTGACCCAAGCATACCTCTGGATCATATTGTTCTGCATTTGAGAAATCATTGCTCAGATACAGCTGTAGAAATAGCAGGTGACAGACGGACAAAAAATACTAATGCTCAAGGAAAGGGATGAGAAAGAATGAGTAGTGACAAGTCCCCAAAATTTGTCCACAATATGCAACCACCCTATAAGTTTGTCAGGGAAAACTTCCTCTCAATGGGAGGGGGAGCAAATAACAATTGATTCACCTGACAAGGTTGGTCAGGATATGAATTAAGGTGGTCTAAAGCAGGGAAGTTATCTAGTATAAGATGTGGATTATAGCATTTTATTCAACATATTCTCGATGTAAATGTAGAACTGCTGTTAGATATCTACTACTTGCAAATTTGGGTCCTTCATAATACTTGACTACTAGATTTACAATCAAATGTCAATGTAAACCTTTTCTATGTCAGATTAACTGAAAGATGTATATTGAGAAGCTAAGATAACCAGTTAAACCACAAGCCACCAAACTCTGAAACACCCTTACTTGAAAAAAATAATCAAATAATGACAAATCTACGGAGCTTAATACATTCGAGAAAATATGTACATAACCAAATGAATCAGAAATAGAAAAACAAAAAAGCAAAGAAATTGAATTATCTTAAATGGATAAAAAGCAAAAGAAAATCAGCTAACCATTGACATCAAAGAAGATCTGCTGATTATGTCGGTAGCGCCACCAAAGAACCAGTGCTATGACTACTAAAACCAAGAAAGCAGCACCAAAACTTGCTCCAAAAGCAACAGCCACATGATGGTTTTTACTTCCTGCTCTTTGATCTATGAAATTGAAGAAAACAGACAATACAATTTCAACAATAGAGATAGCAGAACCTCCCGTGTCTTCTACTATTTTCCATTTTTAAATGAAAGGAACGGAAGGTGAATGAAAGTGAGTGATGTTATGCAGACCTCCTAAACTATCTGGCGGGAAGGACAGCGGTTCTGGATAGACTGCTGAACAATTGTTCCCCGAACTTTGGCCACAAATCAAAGGATTTCCAATAACTCTGAAAATCATGATGAGAAACTTAAATTCAATATAATAAGGTTCAGTAATCTATCAAAAATAAATACTTTCCATTATCCTAGAAGCACTACATAATTATTGTTTAATGAGAAGTATATATACAGAGGCATGAACCAGTCAATTTCAATAATATTGAGAATTACTACTTCAACTGCAGCAATTATGTATTGAAAGAAGAAAAGGTGACTCACTTGAAAGCTCTTGCAGATATTTTGGGCAATGGACCACTTAGATTATTAAAAGAAACATCCCTACAATCAAAGATCAGCTAAATCAGTAAAATGTACGAGGAAGAAACAGAACATTAGAGTAATTTAGACCGGTCTTATAAGGATAAGCATAACAAATTTCGATGGTAAAGGAGGGTATGGAGACGTACACGAGAGCGAGGCCTCCAATGTTTGAGAGAGATTGAGGAATGGTTCCTGTGAGGCTATTGTTGTTTAATCGTCTGTCTTGCTCAACAGCGAAGATACACAATAAGATTCAAGTGTAGTTTGATAAGAAACAGTGAAAAATAAGAAAAATTTCCTGAACTCACAAATAATTCAAATTATTGAGATCTCCGAAAGAAGCAGGTATTTCGCCATCAAACTTGTTGTTGGAGAGATCAAGTGTCTCAAGCTTTTCAAAATTACCAACCACATCAGGAATAGGACCATAAATAGCATTGTTTTGCAGCAATCTACACGAAATTGGGAATAGTATTACTATTCAGCTAACATATAATCAAATGAAGTACTAAGAGAAAAATACAGTGAAGAACTTACATTGATTCCAATTTGGTGAGGTTTCCAATTCCAGGTGACAAGGTTCCAGATAAACTTTGACTAGGTAGTCCACTGATGAAGGGAAAAAAAAAAAAGTTTACTTTTGGTGTTATGATTATGTAGAGTGAAAATTACTGAAGCTCAACTACTTACAGAGAAGAAACATATCCATCATTTGAACAAGTAACCATTCTCCAACTGCAAGGGTCAACAGAAGTGACATCCCAATTCTCAAGAACATTGTAAGGATCATGTAAGGCCTTCTTAATTTCAATCAAGGCAACAACTGCATATAATTATGTGAGATGAAGATGATTTTCACCCCCAAGAGAGAAAGGAAATGTAGGAAAGAAGTTTACCTTCATAGTTGATACCGGTAGGGGAAAGAGAAGCATAACAACTCTCCATCAATGTTAAAACCACATACAAGAACATACACCACTTTCTCTCCATTCTCTACTTTTCTACAATTTACCTTGTCAGAAAATGGATTACTTGCCTAACAAAACCTCCCCATAAAACATTAAGACAACAAGAATACATTCTTTACATCAAAACCACTTCTTCATCCATAAAGGGTCACTCTCAGAATCAGAACAGAACCAATTTGCTAAAAAAAAAAAGAGAGAGAGAAAGATAGATGCTGTTTTCACTCAATAGCAACCACAAATCCTGCTCTTTTCAGCTTCCAATATTTCTTCAAAACACCAAAGTTGCTATCTTTACACAATTATGAGAAATGGGCATCCATCTATAATTAGAATGAATGAATAAAAAGGGAATCTTCTTGATAAAGAAAAAAGACTAAGGTGGTAACCTTGAGATCTGATAATATTGGAATATGAACTAATCCCAACAAATTCTATGTTTGAGCTATTTTTCTCCTTCAATGAAACTCTCCACCATATCCTTTCAAGATCAACATCCTCTCCCTCTATTATTAATAAGTAATATATACCACAAAGATACAAACACAACAGAAAAAGCCAAAACATAGGCCAAAAACTCAGAGATACAGAGATGTGGTCAGTTTTTTTAAAAGAAAAAAAAAAGAGAATCCCTTTATTTATTATGTATGTGAAAAGAAACGAAGTAGCAATTGGGTTTTACAAAGTTAACTTTCTATTGAGTGATTGGACTGAAGGGATTGCATTGGATTGATGAGAATGGAGAAAGAAGAAGAGCATGTCTAAAAGGAAAAAAAATTACTCTCTCCGTCTTATTTTATGTGAGGTACTTTGATTCGATACGAAGTTTAAGAAACAAAGAAACACTTTTAAAATTTGTGGTCCAAAATAAATGACAGAAATTTATGTAATTGTAAATCATTTCACTAAGAATAAAATCGATATTTTATAATTAAATTGTTACTTAATATAAATATATGTCTTTTTTTTTTTAATTTACTAAAAAAAAAAAAAAAGTCACATAATTCTATGACGGAGAGAGTATGTACTACTCCAGTAAATAAGCTTTTGACAGGTCACGTGCTTGCCTTGTCTTAGTCTTTGTTGGCTTTTGGACTTTTTTTCTCCTTCTTTTCAACATTTTTAAAATCATTTTGTTCTGTTAAAGTTTTTTTTTTCTTTCCAGACATACCCCACATTGCTAGCTTGCACCACATTTGTATTCCACATTCAAAATTCTTCCCCTTTACCCATATTCTACTATTTTCATTTAAAACTAGGTAAGACTAAACTATTTTATTTGGTCATGCATGGTATCACGATATGAAATTATGATATAATATCATGATATAAAATTATGAGATGAAATTAAAGTTTTATTAGGACATGTGATATCATAAATATAAAAATCTCATAAGTTATAAAACTATTAAAATAGCCCCAATTGTTTATTCAATCTTATCAAATAAATAAAAATTTATAAAATCGCATAATAAATTATTACAAAATTATTTGTTCTCCACTTAAGTAATTGTTTCATCGAACTTTAATTTAATAAAAAAAATTAAACATAAATTGTAGTGTACTAGTCTTTAATATAATCCTTCCACATAGTACGGACAATTTCCTCACGTTGAACTTGCATTTATTGATCATGTGACCGGGAAGACAAACCAACATTGTTACTTTGAGTCATTTGTTGGTCAATATCATCCACAACTATATTTTCATGCTCATAGACCGTAAATATTTCATCACTTTAACAATCGATTGGTGTGAGTTAAAGTGACTATATGTTGGTGAGAATAATAAATTTTATGTCGGATAGAATAATAAATTTTAAAAAGTAATGATATGATTAAAAATTTTATTAACATATGAAATAAATTGTTAGTAGATATAAATGTGGGTTGTTTTAACAAAATATATACTCATAGATCAATTTTTGTATTAAAATATCTCAAATCATGATATGGAATTACCATATAATTCCATATCATGGTTTTTGGAGAATATGGAATCATGAGATGGAATCGGCGTAAAATCGCATGTTCAAACGTTGATTCCATCTCACAATACCATATCGTGATATGGTATCGCATGGCCAAACGCCTACTTAGTTTCATACTTAAACTATTGAGAGTGTGAGTTTCATACCTAAACTATCACTTTTTAATTTGAGAAACACACTTCAGTGGTGTGTGTAATGCATGAAAAAATCTTGACCCGTGGCATTCCTCATGGATAAAATATTCCACCTTGACAAAAATTAAATAATAAACTATTAATATTAATTAAAAAGTAAAGATAAAGCATTAATATCCATAAAAAATATTTTTTTTAAAATAAATTCAAATTATTTTCCTTACCTCACTCCACCACCTCCACATACCCCCCCCCCCCAACAATCCCCATCCCTTTTTTTTTAAAAAAAAAAACTTTTATAAAATATCCCCCCCCCCCCAAAAAAATGATAATATTTTATTTTAAAAAAAATAAAAAAATTACCCCATCCGATTTAACCCTCTGCTCCTAATTTTTTTTTTACATTTTTCTTGTTTTGTATTAGATATGTATGTACATATATTTTAAGAAAAAAAATTCTACTAGTGTACCGAATATGACATAAATAAATTAAAAAATTAGAAAAAATGTTGTGGCGGCAAGTAAAAAATATTTTCGATATGTATATATCTAACATAAAATGGAAAAAAAAATTGGAAGTGGAGGATTAGGTGGGGTGGGTAGAATTATTTTTATAAAAAAACATAATAATATCTATATTAGTATTTGAAGGGGGTGGGGGGGGGAGGAGGAGATGAAGTAAAAAAATTAAATACTTTTATAAAAGAAATTTAAACAAAAAAAGGGCCGGGGTGGGGGTTGGGGGGGGGAGGTGCAGTGAGAGGAAGTGATGGAGTGGGGTAAGAAAAATATTTTACATTTTATTTTATAAAAGAAATTTTTAATTTTAACTAATACTAATAATTTATTTATTTTTTGTCGAGATCTAATATTTTGTCCATGTGGAGTGTGATGTGACAATTTTTTAAAATAAAAAAAAGAGTGTATTACACACATCATGATGAGATTGGTATAAAAGAGAGAGGTGTGTTTCTCAAACTAAAAAATGATAGTTTAAGTATGAAACTCACACTCTCAATAATTTAAGTATGAAACTAAAAAAAAAGTATAGTTTAGGTGTATTTTTGACATTTATCTCTTTTATTAAAGCTCACATATGATCGATCATTTCGTAATATTCGTACTTTTGATACATACATTATATTGTTAAAAAAAAATTATTTTAAGGCACAACGTTCCTTCGAAATATTAAAGTGCTATATTTTTTTAAATTTTCGTTTTTGTTGCACAAAATTATGAGTCATACAGAGATTTTTTAAGTATAAAAAGAAGTCTAAGAAAATCTTTCATGGAAATAGTTGGTCAGATGTAACGCGATTTTTTAAACTCCAGAAAGTTATAAAGAACAACATCATCACTTAAAGAAGAGACCAAAAGCCTTGAACAACAATACTCCCAATTAAGTGAAACATCACATCCATACAAGAACTTAATTAACTAAATTCAAATTGAGGATATTCGACTCCTTTCTTATGAAACTCCATCAATCTCTTTTTTATTATAGTATATTGTATCATGTATATGTTAAAAATGACCTTAAAATTGTTAATATCATAAAGGTTTTTCATCATTGTCCTATTGCTTAGGTTTCATATCACCGTCCCCAACTTATTTGAAATTGAGCCATAGTTATTGTTATTGTTATACTATACATTTACAAAGAATTAATGCAATGATGAACCAAGCAGTAGGTAGCGAATGGAACTGTTCACAACTGGATATTCTAAACCAAAATTTTGATACATAACATATTAAAATCTCACAACATAAGTTTTTGCGCACTTGAACTCACAAATATCCACAAATAATAATAAAGACTATCTTACTTTCATAACAATCAAGAAGAAAAAAGACATATTGCTTGACATATTTTTCAGAAAGATAGTCTGACAGGTTGTATCCAAGTTTACAGTTCACAGTTCACAACTTTAATTGAAAGAAACCAAAAGAAAGAGTTATCACTACAACAAAAATGATTTTTAACGGCAATTAATAGCTTAATTACCGCTATGTATTTTTAGAGGCAATTAGTACTCTCTATAAATGTCTCTAAAGGTTAGCGACATTGAATCTAATGATAATTAATTAATATCGGTAAAGGCTCCAGAACTCTTTGTTAATGTGCATATCTATTGGCAATAAATATTATTTTTGTTATAGTGTATTTTGGGCATCTGTTAGTTTCAAGAAAACTTGATCTCTTATTATGCTCAAAACGAAGAGAGGAAGAAATATGACAAATTAGTCAACTTGCGATAAAAGAAGTGGACTAATTGTCTTTATACAAATACTTTAGGGCGAGTGCAATGACATTCAAAATGTTTGTACCTAAGATAAAACAATCAAAATAATATATTAATTGTGGAAAGCAAGAGAACAATCTGATTGGTTCTTTTAACAAACTTCACCATTGATTATCACATATGCTATTGTTGTGTGTTAACAAATATAGCACAACCCATAAGCAATTTTCCCAAAAAGTATATGAAGAAGTTTATAGAAAGGGACAAAAGAGGAGATTAATTTTCAATCATCCTTAGTCGAATTTTTAACAGAGTTCAAAAAAGTCACCAAAATAGCAAAAAGATATTGCAATACTTACATGAATCACTATGACTTACAGTAAAATATTAAGCTTCATGATATAGGAGGAAGAAAACTTTGAGGAATGAAACACACTTCATAAGAAACTTAATTAATATATTTGAATTTGACTCTCCTATAGTGAAAAAAAATCTACAAATAATAGTGGTAGGAATAGAAGTTTTGTTTACTAAAGAACAAAATGTTATAAATTCAACCATTCCAGCAACGTTGTGAGTTGTGGACAGAGAGGCGCAAGAATAGTAATGTCGCGTTGCAATTGAAAATAATTTTCTTTGTTTATTCTTTCTTCTTTTGGTGTCTTGCAATTAAGTGTTGGGTTTTAAAAGGTGTGGATGAAAAATGAAGAGTTGTGACTTTTGTGAAAAGTTGTGAATTTTATGAAAAATTGTGATTTTCATGAAGAATTTCGAGTTTTCAAAAGAGTTGTGACTTTTT